TAATTAGGGTTAAATTAGGGATTCTACAGCGGGAAACCCTAAAATGAGCGCGGCGGCTCTTTGACCTAATGCTAGGGGTAAAATTGTAATCTTGCCTGCGGCGAGGCATTTGTGAAAATTAGGGTTTGCAGTTTGTAGTTTTGAGGATTTGAAATTGAATGTGTGAAGTTTTACGGACTATTGGCGCGGCGGCCAAACAGTTAGACCTAACCTTCGGATGTGTGCAATGTGACAGAAATAATGGTAAACGCGTGAGATAATTGAATCATGCAAACAGAGAGATAATGTCATAATTTAAACCATGCAAGCAGAAATTTAAAGGCAGAATTTAAAGAGCGATTGTTAAGTTCGCGAGGTTACATGAGAGGAGCAGATACAATATGATAATGAAATTTGAATTGAACAATAATAAAATAAAATAAATAACGGTTCTAGTTATTATTTTAAAAAAAGATTTTAGTTATTATTTTAAATTTATCTAAAAAAAAGTTTTTCTTAAAAATAATAGGTTTTCATATTAATTTGGAAAAGATGTTAATGTTATTTATTTTAAAAAACAGATTTTTATATTATAACAAGTTTTAATAAATTAATGATAACAATAATAATAATAATGGTAATAATAATGATGATAATAATGATGATAATAATGATAATAATAATAAATAATGATAATAATAATAATACTAATAATAATAATAATAATAATAATAATAATAATAATAATAATAATAAAGCAATAATGAATTTTAAATGTGCCAAATAACCCAACAATGTTGCTAACGCAGAAATGCGCTCATCGCAACCAGATCTAAATCGGACGAAACAAAATTTATCGCAAAGAAAAAGAAATTAAGCAAAAAATAGTATTATTGCTCACACAAAAATGCGATCATCGCAACCAGATCGAACTAACACAAATGTCACGCGTCATGCACACAAATGTGCAAACATCGTATCGACATAATTCGATCAAAAATTAATCTTATATATATAAACTCTAACAATTTAAAAATTATATATATATATAAACGTAACAGTAATAGATAAAGAAAAAGAAATAACGGTAATAGATGAAGAAAAAGAAATAACGGTAAAAGATGAAGAAAAAGAAACAATAGTAATGGATGAAGAAGAAAACTAAATAACGGCAAACGGCACTCACTCCTCTTAGGTTTTTTTCATTCTCTCCCTTTTCAACAAGGCAACACATGTATATATAGGGAACAAATTAGGGTTAACACCAAATTGTCAATAATGTCCCTAAAGCCCATTTTAAAGCCCAAACTAAATAATTAGTTAAGAAAAAATAAAATTTAAATAATAAAAAAATAAAAACTAATAATCCTATTGATTCCTAAAATCAAAAATATTATAAAAAGAACAAAATTTTTTCCAATATTTTTTATTTTATGATTTTTTGGATATTTTTATGAATAATTTAGAAAAAAGTGAAAAAAATAATATTTTAAAAAATGATTTAATTAAAATACGAAAATAATAATTAAATAATAATAAAAAACTATTTTTGTTATTTTTTAATGAAAGATAGAAAAATTTAGAGTAAAAATAATAAAAAACAAAAAGTATTTTTGTTATTTTTTAATGAAAGATAGAAAAATTTAGAGTAAAAATAATAAAAAACAAAAAGTGACAAAGGTGAGATTCGAACTCTCAACCTCTCACACTCACAACTCCTTACACATGTCCTCTTTCCAATTGTGCCATTTTTACTTTTTAGGAAAAAAAAATGCATGTCATATGATATTTACCTGCAAAAAGTCAAATGACTACACAAATTTGTTAGTAATTGATTAAATGCAATAAAAATGCAATGAAATGCAACGACAAATCTTAGGGCAAAATTTGGGGTATTACACATCTGTCATACCCTAAATTTGTCCTACCCTTTTGTAGATATTTTCGCATTTATTGTTTCGTGCTATTAGACACGTGTCCACCCGAAATTGGACGTTTTTCAAAAAAATTCTTTTTAACCAATTAAAGCGTGACACGTGGCATGAGATTTATTTATTTATTTTCAGTTTCTTAAACTTTTCTTTTTTTTAAAAAAAATATATACATTACTAAAATATTATATGTAATTAATACTTATTTTTGTTTTTTCCTAAAAAGGGACATTTGTTAATATTTATTTATTTGTTTTGTTAATATTCATTTATTATTTAACTATGTTAGTTAGCATTTTAATTATTAATTTATATTGTTTATAGTTGTTTATTATTAATTAATTTCAAGATAATTAGGAAAAGAGAATCAGGTTTTGGAAAAAGAAGAAGCAAGTAGGGGGGAGAGAGGCCCAATTGGGACGGCCCGTTAGGGTTTGCATTGGAGCTGAGTATTAAGAGAGGAGAAGGTCTGACGAAGCAGGGGGGGATTTCACTGTTCATAACCTAATTGGAACCCTAATACACTATTCATCAAGAAGAAATCGACGCCGATCCATGTCCTCTCCTTCCCGAACCCTGACGGCGGTGTTATCTCCTACCTCACTTTCAATCGCCGTTATCCCCTTTCTCACTTCACCTCCTTCACAAATTCGCCATTAAAGACCCTCAATCCATCATTTTTATTCCGCCGCCCACAACCCACACTATTTCCGTAACCCACCTCACCATAAACCATCATCCTACCACCGGAAATAGCCGTGCAAGCCCAATGATTCTGACATCATTGTTTTCAGTTCAACGGAATACATAGCAACAACGGCGACTCGATGCTCTGTTTCCACATTGACGATGACTCGTTTCGCTTATACTCTCATATCTCGAAGCTAGCGTGAATCTCACGGTAAACATAGAAGAAACTTTGAGACGAAACATTCAACAACTGTATTTGGGTAATATTTCGAACCATGTGTACTTTGCATATTGTGTTCCATTTGTATGTTTTAGTTTTATTTTGCAAGAATGTCGTCTTATTATTTTTCAAGTTTTGATAAAGTGTTTGTTAACCTAAGCTGTTGGTATGTGTTTTGTGAGATTTCCTTCAATCATGTGAGTAATGTCATGCTGCTAGTTTGCTACTGTCATGAATAAAAATTTTCTTACTGTTGGCCTGTAATTACTGTCATTGCGTACTACTAGTTTATGTTTAAGTTGTTCACATCAAATTTTACGGTCATGAGGTTGTTTCGATTATAAGCCTATGCCTGAGCCATGTCGTTCCGATTTCGGTTATATTTGAGTAGCGGTCTGAATTTGATCATAAGGAGTACAGGGGTGACTCATTGAGAATCGCAGCCACCGACATCAACGTCGATACATTCAGCCCAACAGCTTCTCAGCTCACGGCAATGACTCGACAATGATACTACATCAACAGCAATTTATGATGGTTGGCTCAATTCCATTTCAAATTCACAGAGAATGTGTATTATTGTCTGCAACTGTTTTTATGTGCAGTGAATTACAGCATGACAGCAAAACGGCTTGCGGCTCAGATAAACTAGGATGCGACATCCTCAGTTAGTAGTAGCAAATTTCGCGACACAAACCAACATCAAGGTGACATTTCCAGCTTTTGTATGCTACTTGCTTCCGTCATCGGCGGTATCGGCTATTTCAGATGGTCAGCTGAGCCTTCATTTCGAGATCTTTGCTCACACTTTTGGTTAGTATATGACTGGTTTGACTGCTGTGCATAACAGATAGCTAGTTATAGTTTGGTGTCGAGTCCCGTATTCGGTATTGTTACTTTGATTGCATCGATCTCAATCCAACTATTTTCTGTATGTGCTGAGTTTAGATGTGATATACATGGAAGTTTGTTAAAAATGTGCTACTGTGGTAATGTTTTGGAGTTAGTGATTTGGTATGAGGTTTATGTTCATTATTTGTTTGCAAGCATTGTCAAAGGTAGATAAGCAGGTAGCAATATGATTGTGAATATATTTTCATCTCTATCCAATTAGAATCAGGGTGGTGTTTGTTTATTTTTTCAATAATTCATTTGAGTTTGTTAATTATTTATCAGTGTTTGAGGAATGGTTGGCCATAGATTTTCAGTATTGTATAATACTTGGTGCTGTTTGGTTAGAACTAATATAACTGAGATAGGTATCAACTCCATAATACCTTATTGCTGGTGTTGTTCCATATCTTAGTATCTATACATATCACCATGAATCTCTGTCATCTCATTTAAACATGATATCAAATTATCAAACACTAACAAACATAGCACGATTTAAGGCTCTTGCTATCACTTTGAATTTTGAAGCCACACTTTTTATGGCACTGGTATAATCTGCTACTAACATTCCCCATGTTATATAAGTCAAGTGTATATCCTGTTTTATATTTGAAGTGAAGCAGGGTAACCTTACGAATGGCAGCAATCTTACGTGTGGATATCCTGTTTTATATTTGAAGTGAAGCAGGGGAACCTTGCGGATGGCGGCAATCTCGCGAATGGATATTCTGTTGATCTGTTTATATTCTGTTTTATATCTCTTCTGTGTAGATTGCAAAGCCGCCGCAATTCGCCGTGAACACTAAAGCTACGACTAGCTAGGATGTGACATCCCCAGCTAACATGGCTTTCTTCAGCGGCATAGCAACAATTTTCCGAATGAAGCAACAATAAGGCATCAGGAACCTGTTGCGACTTCCTCAAATATCAGCAACACAAAGCAAAACATCTCGTATGATTCTCAACAACCAACGCGAACAGAATCTAAAGCGATAACAGCAACGACAAGGTTCAGCGCAATATTTCCGCATCAATAGCAGATTCGCGACTGCACTGTAATAGCAAACTCGACGCAGCCGGCATTTGCGATACGTGGCAACTAACGCTTTCAATCACACAAGTCTTCATCGATTTTGCTGCTAAATTAAAATTGGCGTAAAAATAGCTAGTTTTCTGTTTAGGGTTTACTCCTATTTTCCTCCAGACAACGGTTTTATGACCTAGGTAGTTGATTGAATTGAAGCTGAAAAAAATCTTCCTGATCTACTTTGCTTATGGTGGTGATGATGGCAACTGCGGGTGTAGCACCTGCTTCTGGATTAAGAGATGTAAATGCAGCAAGTTCAGTAATTGCTGCTGATAGGTTACCTGATGAGATTCTTGGCATGAGAATTAAGGATGATAAGGAAATGGAAGCAAGTGTGGTAGATGGAAATAGTACCGAAGCAGGACATGTAATTGTCACTACTATTGGTGGTAAAAATGGCCAACCAAAGCAGACAATAAGTTACATGGCTGAGCGTGCTGTTGGACAAGGATCATTTGGTATAGTTTTCCAGGCAAAATGCTTGGAGACAGGTGAAACTGTGGCTATAAAGAAGGTACTTCAAGACAAGAGGTACAAGAACCGGGAATTACAAACAATGCGCCTTTTGGACCACCCCAATGTTGTAACTTTGAAGCATTGTTTCTTTTCAACAACTGAAAAAGATGAGCTCTATCTTAACTTGGTACTTGAGTATGTTCCTGAGACTGTCCATCGTGTGATCAGACACTACAGCAAAATGAATCAGAGTATGCCGGTGATTTACGCTAACATTGTCATATTGGTAGTTACGTGAGATATCAAGAGTGAAATGTCAAAGTTGGCATGAGGAGTCCTGCAGATTTTTGGAATTGGTTAGAAAAGCAATGTTCATTCATTTTAATGTTAATTAATTAGCTTAGTGTTTAATTACAATTGTTTTTAGATCTTAATTTTCACTAGCTAGTTAACAATTTACCTCAAATTAATTTAGTATGCTTTTTTTTTCAAATTGGAGGATTTTATTAAATATACTTATTAATTTTGAACATTTCAAGACAGTATTTTAAACAAAGTCCCAAGTCTTTTTTTTACGATACTTGTTAAATCCAATGTTTTCTTTTTAAAAAATAAAAGTCTTTTTATTAAATAGAATTTTTTAAAGGAATTCTCAAATGTTTTCTAAATAAAATCTTAGATTATTTTCGAACGTATTTTTAAAATATGACTAATCATTTTTCTTAGATTCAATTTATTTTTAAAATTTATTTTTTTCAATCAAGTCATGAAAAATTAAATTCTTGAAGTCTAGCACTTCTTGAATTTTTGGACAAACATTATTGGGGTGTACACCTTAAATAAATATGTCATTCAACTTTTCATTTTAGTACGCGATTTAGAACAAAACAATATCATAGGAATCTAGCATTCTGTGTGATATTTTCTTTGTTCATTCCAACATTTTTCAAATAAAAATGGTGTTATTGAAATCTAGCATTTCGGTAATACCCCGATTATTTAGTTATGGGGCCGACGTCTCATTTATTAAATAATTGATATTTTCAAATCCTATCCCGCGTTCTCACTTCTCACACGTTCACAAATTAATTTCATACCCCATTTCGCTTCAAATCATTTTTAAAATATTTTTTTTCTCGATCAAACTCCGAAAGAAGGAGATTCTTGGAATCTAGCATTCCTTGAGTTTTCGAGTGAATAACTCTCGAGGCACGCCCTTTGAGTTACTATTCACTCAACCTTCCGACTCTTTCAGATTCAATCATTTTCAAACATTCTCCTAAGTCGAATGCTCGTCCCCATTCGCAACCCATTTCTTTCACAATTCCTCGTGGTCTCAATATTAGGAGCACCCTCAGGGACTGATATCGCTTCTCACAGCCCTAACACTTGACATGTCGTCAAGTCGGCTCCATCTTCAAACAAATCCTCGACACGTCGTCGAGCTACTTCAAAACAACTTCCTTTTGGTCTCTCATGCCATTTCTTTCGATTCAATCTTTTCGCAAACATTTTTAAAACTTACGAAAGAGAGATATTCTCAGAATCTAGCATTCTTTGAATATTCGAATGAGTAACTCTCGAGGCGCGCCCTTGAGTTGTTATTAGTTCATTCTTTCAATTTCAAAACATCCAACTCTTCAACTTATTCAGTCAATTCCCGAAAGAATTGAGTTCTTGGAATCTCGCATTCTTTGAATTTTTGAGTGGCAAGCTCTCGAGGCACGCTCTTGGGTTGCTTGTCAGTCACCCTTTTGTCTCTTTCCCAAACTCCCAATCTATTCAACCTCATATTTTCGTGGTTGTTACCACGAACTACGGACGCTCTGATTCTTTATTCCTTCCGAATGTAAGATACGTAGGCACAAGATTGAGATGATCTTGGCGAGCACACTTCTATCCATCTTCCGTATTCTCCCATCCTTTCCCGTAGTCGAACTACGACGCTCTGATTTCTCATTCCCGTCCGAATGAGCATATGTAGGCACAAGGTCCCCAATCCTTGGCGAGCACCCCATTCTCTAACCACTCGTCTCTCCTTTGCGTCTTTAACCTTTTACCCAACCAATTCTACCTTTAACAACGAGAAGAAAACAAGTAAACCTATACAACACTCCCCACAATTACCTTAAGAGGTTCCCGTCGAGTACGACGGACGTGAGGGGTGCTAATATCTTCCCCTCACGTAACCGACTCCCGAACCCGGAACATGGTTGCGACAGCCCTGTTCCTATCCTTTCGTTTTTAGGAGGTTTTCTCGATATTTTCCTCTCCCGTTTATTCGGGAAGAATAAAGTTCGGTGGCGACTCTGTCGAACCGCATTTCCGCGCCTTTCGCGCGAGGGTCGTATTTTCGAATGGATTTTTCGAGGTGCGACAAAAACCTGAAAGGGAAATCGAGGAAAAAGTTAGGGATTATGGCAAGTAACTGCATCTGGCCAGTCTTAATCGCTTGAAGCAGCATTTCTCATCAAGGATTTTACTTCAATTATCCTCAACTGAAGTCTCAAGCACAGTTGGAACTCAAAGTTGTTAGGGAGAATAGTGGTCATTATATTTCAATGTATCCCTTTCTATTGTACTTACCATTTTTCAAACTTTGTAATGATCCGTGGAGTTACGCCTTTTTTTGCGGACTACCATTCTATTAATAAAATTCGGGCCTTTTATCCCTTTGTTTGCAATTCTCATTTTGTTTCTGTTTATAGAATTTCATTTTATTCTTGATGATGATTTTTGTAACAAATGTGAATAATTGATTTAAAATTTTGAAAATTATAAAAACATTTTTCTTTGATTTATGAATATAAAGAGGAATATCGACAGTACTCCCAAGAATGGTAAAATCGCGAAGCGCAAAGCTTAGTGTTTTCCTCAGTGAAGTTTGTTCTTGTTAATTTTCTCCTTAGTAGAGTTCGTTGATGTTTTCCTCAGCAGGGTTCTTTCTTGCTCCTCTAGTAGAATTTATTGGCAGTTCTCCAGTAGAGTTGTGTTGAGGTTTCTCCAATAGGGTCTGTTGATATTCCCTTAGCAGAGTTTTGTTCCTATGGATAACCAGATAGATATTGTTCGGTTTTCCTAGCTAAGTCTTGATTCAAATTCTCTCCAGCTGAGTATGTCTCCTTCATCCAGCCAGGTTATGATCAGACAGTTGAGCAGTTTTGAGTGCCACCTCTCCTTGATGTTAATACCCATGTAGAGATTTGTCTTTGCTGATTCTTAGTAGAGGTTATGCATATTCATTTTGGATATTCCCCAAGAAGATAACAATGTTGCTTTCTTCTAAGAAGTATTGGTATAGCAGTCACCTGTCGGGTTTTCTCTCACTTTGTGTTGAGTATTGATTTAAAATCCCCCCACAACTTGACTTTTCGCTACGATGTTAACTTCTTATTCCCCGGCAAGTTCAGGATATTTCCCTCAGAATTGGATGTTTCTCAGAGTTCTTTATTGTATCCCCATAAGAGCTTTGTTATTCACAAATGGAGTTTGTGTGAATGTTTACATAATTATAATTCTTCAGCGGATTCATTATTTTCCTCAGCAGATCTCTTCATCCTTTTGAAGCAAGTTTCGAATGGATTCTTCTTATCCCCAAGAAGAGTCGAGAAGATTTAGGTTGATGTTCCCCCAACAGTTTATCTTCTGTCTTCGAAGCAGAGTTGATGTTGTTATTCCCTTGTGGAGTTGTGTAGTTGTTTATATGATTCCAATCCTCAGCAGATCTCTTCATCCCTTTGAAGCAGATTTCATGTGGATTTTTCTTATCCTCAATCAGAGTTAGAAGATTTGTGTTGCTATGTTTTCTCAAACAGATCTTTCCCTCGGGGCGAAGTTTATATTGTTGTTCCTTCCTACTTGATTATTGATGTTTGAAGATTAATCTTTGGATTTTCCCCAAGCAATATCTTTCTTTTCGCTGTGGTATTTGAGCCTTGTAGTAGGATTTATTTTCCTTTGATGGCTTTTGCTTATTTCTTGTAGGATTTATGTTGCTAATTCCCAACATGATCTCTAGTGGTGTCTCCAACTTGATGAGATTAGCTGAGTATTTCTAGTGGTGTTGTTGATGTTTTGTTCACCCTCTGTTTATCCTTCTTGTCTGTTTTTCCAACATATTCATACCCATATGCATTGCATGCGCATTCATTTTTGTTGAGCATAACATGTTTTTGTTGCATTGTGCATCTTGCTTTTTTGTTGGTGTTTCCCATTCTCTGGTGCTGTTATCCCCTGCGGAGTGCGTGTGTCCTCTCTCCATTAGAGTGTCGACCCCTAAGCATAAAATGCCCATCCTTTCTAATTCCCCACTGAGCTTATGTCTCGTGGAAGATGTTTTTTTTAGATTTCCTCCCCAACTTTTATCTGGATGGAATTATTCCCCGGTTGAGTTATTTCTTCATTGGCTCGAGTCTTGTTTGACCGTTTCTCTCCATTTTGTTCCTAGATTGAACTTGGGTCTCTTGCAACAGTTATTTTGGATTTCCTTGGGCTGTCAAACCTGGATGATGAGAAGGTATTTATTCCTCCCTTTTGAGGATTTATTTTCCTTGGCAGAAGTCAGTTGCTAATCCCCATCAAAAGATGAAGATTTGAATTTCCCCAGCGGTGTTCTGATAACACACTCTTGGTAATTGCTTGTGCTACTTCATATGACAATCTCTTTATTTGAGCGACTTGTATGTCCCTAGCAAGATAAACCTCACCTGGTAACAAATGGAAGCCTCTTTATTTGAGCAGCTTGTGTAATCTCCAGAAATTTATTTGTACCTTTGCTATAAGTGGCAGTTCTCTAGTTCATATTTTGTAGAGAAGTTTCTTGTGAAATGATGGATCCTTATCTGATCAGCTTTTCCATAAGATGGCATCTATGTGGAATAAGTCCCAATGAGAAGTTTATTGTGAAATCCCCAACAGATGGTTGTCTCTTTATTTGAGAAGTCTGTTGTTTGATTTAACCTGCCCGTATCTCTTTTGAAGTTCTCTGACAGAGTTATTGATATTTCATCCCAACAAATGGTTGTCTCTTTATTTGAGAAGTTTGTTGTGTGATTTGAGCTGCCCATTGGCTGGTAGCAGGTATTCCTTGTGAATGCATTACCCATATTTTTCTACCTAGTGATGGGTATCCGATAATGTTTCTTCACCTTTTGAGCATTTGTCTCCTCCTTTTTGGTCAGTTACTGTCATATTTTTCTACCTAGTGACTGGTAGTCAGTAACCTTTTCTTGTGAGTTCATTACCCATATTTTTCTACCTAGTGACGGGTATCCGGTAATGTTTCTTCACCTTTTAAGT